TTCAACAGGTTTGAGCGTAGGTTTTATAGGGTCAACAGCTAGATCGGGCTATCAGATTGGCCTGTAGTCATGTCTGATAGAAATTAACTTGATTGATGATTGATCTGGGAGGGCTAGGCCCACTGTGAGCCTGGGTTGTATAAGAGAGCTAGCTGAGGGGCTGGAGAGATGGCTCAGAGGTCAAGAGCACTGCTTGCTCTTCCAAAGGTCCTGAGTTCAATTCCCAGCAACCACATGGTGGCTTACAACCATCTGTAATGAGATCTGGCGCCCTCTTCTGGCCTGCAGGGATATGTGCAGACAGAACATTGTATACATAATAAATAAATAAATCTTTAAAAAAAAGAAAAAGAAAAAGAAAGCTAGCTGAAGATGGGCATTGTGGCCCATGTCTTAATCCCAGCACTTGGGAGGCAGAGGCAGGAGGATCTCTGTGAGTTCAAGGCCAGCCTGGTCTACAGAGCGAGATCCAGGACAGACTCCAAAACTACAGAGAAACCCTGTCTCAAAAAATCAAAAAAAGCCGGGCGATGGTGGCGCACGCCTTTAATCCCAGCACTCGGGAGGCAGAGCCAGGCGGATCTCTGCGAGTTCGAGGCCAGCCTGGACTACCAAGTGAGTTCCAGGAAAGGCGTAAAACTACACAGAGAAACCCTGTCTCGAAAAACCAAAAAAAAAAAAAAAAAAAAAAAAAAGGAAAGAAAAGAGAAGAAAAACGAAAAAGGAAGCTAGCTAGCTGAGCATGAGCCAGAAAACAAAGCCAGTAACCAAGCAAAGATCATCCACGGTTTCTGCTTCAGTTCCCGCCCTGATTTCCTTCAATGGTGGCCCATGACCTGGAAGTATAAAATGAATTAAACCGTTTCCTCTTCTAAATTGAAAAAGGGGGGGGGGAGCTTTTTATACAAATGCCAAGGGGAGCGGCAAAAGACCCTCCCACCTTGCAAGATCAAAGTACACCATACAGCTAAGTGCAGACCCTTCAAAACATCTGGTAACCATGCCCGTGGTCAAATCATCTTATGCAGCCCTGCTGGATAAAGCAAGCCCAGATTCTCGGACCCTGAGAGAGTTCTCACTAGGAAACCTCTGTGGGTCACCACACCTAGCCTCATCATTTTTCTTAATTTTCTTTGTTAGTCTGGGGACTGAAATAGTTCCAGTGTTGAAATTTAATGTTCCCTAATAGAAAAATATCTCATGGGGCTGGAGAGATAGCTCAGTGGTTAAGAGCACTGGCTGTTCTTCCAGAGGACTCAGGTTCAATTCCCATCACCCGCACGGCAGCTCACAACTGTAACTCCAAGATCTGACACCCTCACACAAACATACACAGGCAAACACCATTGTACATAAAATAAAAAAATGAATAAAAATTAAAAAAAAGAATAATATCTGATAGCTCACTGTGTGCTGGGCACAGTGCTGCATGCTGGGGATGAGTAAATGGATGAAACTTATGATCTTGACCTTGTAGAATCTGAAATTCTATCGGAGAATAACAGTATGTAATTATCAACTTTAAAAGATTTATTTTCAGCTGGGCGGTGGTGGCGCACGCCTTTAATCCCAGCACTTGACTCAGGAGGCAGAGCCAGGTCGAGCTCTGTAAGTTCGAGGCCAGTCTGGTCTAGAGAGCTGGTTTCAGGACAGCCAGGACTGTTACACAGAGAAACCCTGTCTCGAAAAACCAAACTGCCAGAGTCCAGCTCCAGCGGGGTTCAGGTCCCAAAGAGGAGATGTGCAGTTGGTGAGGGAAAGGGGCTGACAGGACCTAAGGGCCAATCAGCATGACTGACCATTTGCTGAAAACAGGCTGTACCTCATATACTCTATAATTGCATTATAGTTTGAGCACAGTCAATATCGAAAGCAAACAATGATTCTGGGGTGAAAGAGGTCATCAATGCCATTACAGCATTTTTCTTGAAGCAAAAAACAATAAGTTTTAAGGGGGCTGGAGAGATGGCTCAGAGGTTAAGAGCACTGCTTGTTCTTCCAAAGGTCCTGAGTTCGATTCCCAGCAACCACATGGTGGCTCACAACCATCTGTAATGAGATCTGGTGCCCTCTTCTGGCCTGCAGGGATATGTGCAGACAGAACACTGTATACATAATAAATAAAAAAAAAAAAAACAATAAGTTTAGCAAGAATCTAAACACCTACTGTCCTCTAAGGTTCAGTAACCCTACCAGGATTTTTCTAGAAGCACAAAGCAAGAATCTAAATGCCTATTGTCTAAGGTTCAGTAACCCCACTAGGCACCCTCTTACACTTCCTCCTGCATGGTCTCAGTCTTTGTGGTCAGGAGGGATCAGACATTGAATCCTGAGAAACAAACCCCTAAGAGCAATTTTCATTCCTCAAGGGCTATGATGCAGCATTTGTACAGTGTAGCACAAGCATTGAACTGTTTCCTGATTGTATTCCTTTGTGCCTGTCTTTGTGTGTGTGTGTGTGTGTGTGTGTGTGTGTGTGTGCCTGTCTTATAATATAGAACTGTTCTCCTTGTAAGCTCCCAAAGGGAAGGTCCTGACATCTTACTCTTTTTCCATTATACCATACCATTCTGATTCCTTCAGTGTGTGCTCCTGTGTATGGCAGAGGGGGACCAAGCCAGTCTAACTTCTTTTTTTTTTTTTTTTTTTTTTTAAATAAAGGGGGGATGAATAGAGTGATAGGAACAGTTTTGAAAGTAGATTTTTTTAAAAGATTTATTTATTTATTTATTGTGTACACAGTATTTGCCTGCATGTGTCCCTGCAGGCCAGAAAAGGGCACCAGATCTCATTACAGGTGATTGTGAGCCACCATGTGGTTGCTGGGAATTGAACTCAGAACCTCTGGAAAACAGGCGGTGCTCTTAACCTCTGAGCCATCTCTCCAGCCCCAGTCTAACTTCTTCTTTTTTATTTTCTGAGACAGGGTTTCTCTGTAGCTTTGGAGCCTGTTCTGGACTAGCTCTGTAGACCAGGCTGGCCTCGAACTCACAGAGATCCACCTGCCTCTGCCTCCCGAGTGCTGGGATTACAGGCTTGTGCCACCACTGCCTGGCCAGTCTAACTTCTTAACAGAATCTGCTCACAGTGGAGCATACCAGACCTTGACATACATGCAGTAGGCCACTAATAGCAGCACTGTTCTCTAATTAACTGAACCCTTGCCCTAAACTGCCTCAGGCTCTGATTCTGCACTCACTGTTTCTCTCGATTGTGTGTTTTTCATTTCTGGGACCAGATATGCCTAGTTAACAAGTCTTTAACCTCTATTCTTGGTGTAATTGGAGGGGGGTGCATAATGGGGAGTCTTGTGTGGGAAGTAGGCAGAGTTATCATGCTATATAGTTCCATATGGCAGGGATTTTTTTTGTCTGTTTAAAGAGACTGCCACTGTATATATTCTTGTTTTGTTTTGTGTTTTTGTTTTTCCAGACATGGTTTCTCTGCGTAGCTTTGGTGCCTTTTCTGGAACTCACTCTGTATCCCAGGTTGGCCTTGCGCACTGTATATATTCTTATCCTTCACCAAAGCTCACACAAAATTTCCCAAAGAAACAGGCATAGGGAAACTCCCTTAACACATAGTGAAAATCATTAAAAACGAAAGTAAATGGGCTGGAGAGATGGCTCAGTGGTTAAGAGCACTGGCCGCTCTTCCAGAGAATCTAGGTTCAATTCCCAGCACCCACATGGCAGCTCACAACTGTCTGTAACTCCAGTTCCAGGGGATCTGACACCCTCACACAGACATACATGCAGGCAAAACAACAATGAACAACAACAACAAAAAAAAAATCACAGAAAGCAAGAAGGTGCTGAAAAGTTATGATTTGCAGTATCAAAATGCTGGAACTTTGTCAAGCAACAAAACAAAACAAACAAGACTTATTTTCACTGGGTGCTGGTGGCGCACACCTTTAATCCCAGCACTTAGGAGACAGAGGCAGGCTGATCTCTCAGTTTGACGGCAGCCTGGTCTACAGAGTGAGTTCCAGGACAGCCAGGGCGATAAAGAGAAACATTGCCAAAAAAAAACCCCAAACCAAAACAAACAAAAACCCACAAAAAAAAGATTTATTTCCTGTGTGTGTGTGTGTGTGTGTGTGTGTGTGTGTGTGTGTGTGTGTATGTGTTTTCTTGGAGGTCAGAAGAGGGAATCAGATCCTTGGAACTGGAGTTACAGGCAGTTGTGAGCCACCTGAAGTGGGTGCTGGAATTCTAATTCTGGTCCTCGTGATTGAGCAGCAAGTGCTCCTAACCACCAAACCATCTTGACCTTTTAGGGGTTATGTATGAAATACTAGTACAGATACTTGGGAGTGGGTACAGTCCTGAGGACTGAAACAAGGACCAGGCTAAGGCCACAAGGTAGGCTTCCAAGGAATACGTTTATAGCTAAACGTTTGCATGTCTACATCTTTTATTTCCTCGGAAGATTCTGTAAAAATGTGACTTCTGAGCTCAAAACTGCTTATTTATAATTTAAAAATATTTTGGGGGCCGGGCGGTGGTGGCGCACGCCTTTAATCCTGGCACTAGGGAGGCAGAGGCAGGCGGATCTCTGTGAGTTTGAGGCCAGCCTGGTCGACAAAGCGAGTTCCAGAAAAGGCGCAAAGCTACACAGAGAAACCCTGTCTCGAAAAACATATATATATAAATTTTAGATTCCCAACAAAATTTAGCTTAAAGTTCGGAGTTCTCATATGCCTCCCGGAGGACTTCTTTCCCTCTCCTCAACAATCCGATGTTCTGTTTAGTTTTTTTCTGGTGCTGAGGATGCGGTCCCATTACCTCCCACATGCTAGGCAAGGCTCCATATATGCCTTTCGGTTCGCTTGATTTATATGAAAGTTTTCGGGGGAGTATGCAAAGACGCAGAAAACAAACAAGCACTCTGATCGATTAAGTCATGGTTAAATAGATTAGGGCACAGGTGTCAAAGTAAAAACTACGTTTCCCAGGGTGCAATGCAGCACGTCACAGAGAAGTATCGGGCATGCGCAAAGGAGTCCTCCGCGCTCGACCGCGCTCATAAGAGAAACAGCGTGTGTGGTTCTTGACGTGCCGCGAACCTTCGAACACCAGTGCTGTACTACCCTGTGAGGAAGCGTTCCAGCGACTCTCCTGTTCCCACCACCTCAGTTACCAGCGCGACGTGCTGTTTCGCCCCAGACTCGGTAGGTGGGACGGGACCATGGCAAGGTACTTCCAAGCAGCGCGGGAACGAAGGGCCAGCGTTCCTGCCCGGCGCCCGGCTCGCTGAGGCGGCTTCGGAGGAGACGCGCAAGCGCCCTGGACGGGGAAGGGGGCGGGGCTGGGGGGTGCCTGCGCCCCGGCTCCCTGGGTCTGCGCGTGCGCCCTACGTCCCTGGCGAGGTGGGCAGCGGCTGGCGCTGGCTTACCCCGGGGCGGGCACCTGGTGAGGTGCTCGGCCTGAGATGGGGCCCCGGACACCTGCACTTTTTCCTACTTGCTCAAAAGCTTATTGGTTTTTTGAGACGGTCTCGCTCAGCCTGGCCTGGAGCTCGCAGTAGCCCTGCCCCAGCCCCGAGTGCTGAGCTTACAGACTTGAGCGACCCATTCCCCAGAGGTGTCCGTTTACACAACAGTGTAACTTCATCCACCCTCCAGCTCACTCACCTGTCAGTTTACATTGCAGCCCAGGGCGTCGGCTGCTACTCATTAGCATCTTCCCCCGCCGTTCTCTATTCAGCTCTCTCCAGGGAAGCCCTGTCTCCTGTCATTCCGGAGAAACAGCTCCACCAAAGCCTCCTCGACTTCCGAGTTGCCAAGTTAAGCGATGACGGCTTGGTAACATCCTCTTTCATTACCTAAAACTCTTGCTCCATTTCTTTATCTTTAATGGTTGTACCATCGAAATACATAAACATCTTGCCTTTCTTTCTGTTCACTTCCTGGAACACTTTCAATATAAATAACATTTATATTGGTGCTAACTCATTTCTATCTTTGTTGTTGTTGTTTTGTTTTTGTTTTTCGATACAGGGTTTCTCTATATAACAGTCCTGGCTGTCCTGGAACTTACTATGTAGACCAGGCTGGCCTTGAACTCAGAGAGATCCGCCTGCTTCGGCCTCCCGAGTGCTGGAATGAAAGGCGTGTGCCACCACTGCCTGGCTTTCGATTCTACCTACCTTTTAAAAGTATTTAGTGTGTGTGTGAAGGCAGTCGTGTTCATGCAGTGGCACTTGTGTAGAGGTCAAAGGACAGCTTTCAGGAGTTGGTTTTCTCCTTCCGCTTTGTGGGCTTCTAGGATGGGACTCAGGTCATCAGGCTTGGTGTAGGCACTTACATCTGCTGGGCTTTCTCACTGGCCCCTCACATTTATATTTTTAGATCAGTATTCTGTTGTGGCATTTGAATCCACTGGGACTTACGCTCAATTCAAATTTAGATTAAATGAGTTTATTCTTTTTTTTTTTTTTTTTTCAGAGCTGAGGACCGAACCCAGGGCCTTGCCTTTTCTAGGCAAGCGCTCTACCTCTGAGCTAAATCCCCAACCCCGAGTTTATTCTTATTAGCAGAAGGACAGCAACCTTAGAACCAAACAACATGCCTGCTGAAGGGGCTGAAAGAAGGGTTTCTAAGGAAAATTTACAACCCTCAATTGTTTCTCTTTCTCATTGTATAGTGATAAAAAGACCACTTCATCCCAGTGCACAGCGATAAGCAAGTTTACAAAGGCAGAAAGCAGAAACACCACTTTCTTATTCTTATCTCACCTGCAGGCCACTAGGATATCACAGGCATGGCTGGGCAAAGGTAAAGGGCCCCTAAGGGATGCCTGGTACCATATTAAGTTTCTTTGGCTATCACAGGAGAGTTATGTATAAATTATTACACAGATCTGAGCACTCTGGGGGAAGTGTCACTAATTGATCGGGATAGAGCAGGCCATAACATAATGCCATCAGGTTAGTGCTGGCTGTCACATCCCCAACAATTCTACCTTCAACTCAAGATTTATTTTTATTTAGATTTATTTGTGTATTTTTATTATTAATTTAAAAATATTTTGCAACTTTAAAAAAAAAAAATTTTGAGACTGGTCTCCCCATGTAGCTCTCTCTACCTGTCCTTGAAGTCAGGCTGGCCTGTAACTCGGAGATCTGCCTGCCTCTGCCTCCTCAGTGCTGGGATTGAAGGCATGGGCTGCTATGCCCAGCAACATTTTGTTTTTTAAAGATTATTTACTTTCATTTTGTGAATATGAATATTTTGTCTGATGTTTATACACCACATGCAGAGACCATAGAGGTTATCAGATTTTCTGAAACTGGAACACATGGTTATCAGCCACCATGTGGGGTCTGGGAATTGAACCTGGGTCCTCTGGAAGAACAGCCAGTGCTCTTGATCACCGAGCCATTGCTTTAGCTCATTATTATTATTATTATTATTATTATTATTTTTTTTTTTTGAGAAAGGGTTTTACTCTGTAGCCCAGACTGACTTTGAACTCATGGTGATCCTCCTGTCTTGGTCTTATGAGTGCTGCAGATTTTTAGATTCAGCTCTAGTGTATGTCTGATAGACACTTCAGAGATGAGCCAAACTGAAATCTTCGGTTTTATCCTCACATGCTCATACTTTCACTAGTGTTCCCATCCTCCAGACACTCAGGCTAGGAACTTGGGAGTTATTTGTGGGCTTCCCCCACTTTTCTCCATCAGTGTGTTAGAACAGGATTATTCTTGAGTCTCAGTGCCGAATTGTATATTGTCCTTTTGTATTCTGATTTACCCAGTTATGTATTGTACTAGTTTCCTTTCTGTTGCTGTGATAAACACCCTGACAAAAAAGCAACGTGGAAGAGAAAGGTTTGTGTGGCTGAGCATTCGGGTTATAGTCCATCACTGTGGGGAAGCCAAGGCAGGAGCTCGAAGCTGTGTGTCACAGCTGCAGTCAGGAGTAGAAAGAGATGAATGCACGAATGTCTACTTGTGTTCATCCCCCTCTCTACACTTACACAGTCCAGGACCTAAACCCAGGGAATGATGCCATCAAGGATGGGTGGTTTTCCCATCCCAGTTAACATAATCAAGGTAATCTCTCGCAGGCCAACTTGATCTAGACATTGAGAATCTTTTCCCAAGTGATTTAGATGTCAAGTTAAAACTAATCATCACATGTCTTTATCTTCTTTAGTGCTTATTTCACCCTAACAATAAGTATATGGAACATATGCATCACATAATGATGGGAATGCAATCTAAGAAATGCTCTGTTAGGTGATTTTGTCATAAGAGTGTTCTTATACATCCTAGATTGTGTAGCCTACTACATACCTGTTACTCTTGGGCTATACCCATATACAGCATATTACTATAACAAATACTATAGGTAGTCTTCATAAAATGAAAAGTATTTGTGTGTCTACACAGAAAAGGTTCAATAAAAATACTGGCCAGGGAAATGGCTCAGAGGGTAAAGACCCTTGTCACTAAGTCTGACCGCCTGAGTGTGACCCATGTGGTAGGAAGAAAACCAGTAAACCTGTGGAACATGTGCTCCTACGTGCAATAAATAAATATTTAATAGAAGTCATGAGGTGGTGGAAGTTTTGAGCTTATAATATTTTTTGAGCATATAATCTTTGTTTTGTTTTTTTGAAACAGAGTATCTATGTGTAACAGCCTTGGCTGTCCTGGATCTCACTTTGTAGACCAGGCTGGCCTCTAACTCACAGAGATCCACCTGTGTCTCTGCCTCCTGAGTGCTGGGGTTAAAGGCAAGTGCCACCACGCCTGGCAATTATAATAACTATTATAATATTATAGTAAGATTTATACTAATAATATTAGACATTCAAGAGGAGATATAATGCTAGAGCTGAATATAAAAATCTGGACTGTAATCTTATGAGACCACTGTCATGTGTTTGGTCTGTTGTTGGGTGTTGGCATTGTTTGGCATGTGACTATATTTGTTTAATGTCCATTCTGCATTGTTTTTCTTTCACTACTGCACATCCTTCATGTCTTAGATAATTAGCAAATACTACTGAGTGGAATTATGAAGGGGCAACACCTCTTCTACATATGTGGGAAATAGATAGCTTCTCTTGGAAGGTGTTGGTGTTTACCAGCTTTTTCTGGAGACAGGAGAACTTGAATAGCTTAGATTAAAAACAGTTGCAGTGTTCTAAGCTGAAAGACTGCTCTAAGGGGTGTTCAGGACTCAGCTCTCTTCAGCAATCTGATTTGAAAGCACTGTGTGCCAAGACCTGTGCAGATCAGGAAGATGACTAGAGCAGCGCCTGTATTCAGAGCTTGGGATCTGGTAGGAGAGCTGTTAGTGAGACAGCTCATCGTATGCATGAATGACAAATACAGTAACAGAAGTTTACTCTGAAGGCTGAGGCTGGAGAAATGTGAGTTCAATGCCAACCTGGACTACAGTGAGACCCTACCTCAAAAGCAATAAAATAAGCTGGGCATTGTGGGAGGCTAGCTCCCACCTTTCCCAGGGTTCCTATGAGGAGGAGAGTGGGATAAGAAAATATTAGATAGAAAGATAGCAAAGGGGAGAAGGGCAGAAACACAGGATAGCTTCCGGAGGACCTGGTTCAAAACCCAACAGCCTTTTCCGTGTATTCAAAAAGACTTTTCATAACAATGCCAAGGATCAGAGCAAAAGACCTCCCCCTTGCTAGATCAAAGCACACAGCCTAGCCAAGTGTAGACCCTTCCAAACACCTGTCAACCATGCCCATGGCCAAATTATCCCCTTATGCAGCCCTGCTGGGTAAAGCAAGCTCAGATTCTCGGACCCTGAGTAATTTGGGCCTCCACAGGGCATGATGGCACACACCTTCAAACCCAGCACTGGGGAGGCAGAGGCAGGTGAATCTCTGGGAGTTCCAGGCTAGCCAGCTCTACATAGCAAGTTTTTGGACAATCAGAGTTGCATACCAAGACTCCAGTCTCAAAACAACAACAATAAAAACATAACAAGAATAAAGTTCATATGCAGGCCTTAGGAACTTTCCAATTTTAATTGGCCTTGTGTTAAGTGGAGGAGCCTGTGACTGTCTGTGAGCAGTGTTGTTCTTCCCCTACTTTCTTATATAAACATGTTCTTGGTGTGAAAGTAATTGATAAGCTCTACTTTTAGAAGTTCTTTTTTGTTGTTGTTTGTTTTTGGTCTTTCAAGACAGGTTTTCTCTGTGTAGCCCTGGTTGTCCTGGAACTTACTCTGTAGACCAGGCCAGCCTTGAACTCAAATCCACCTGCCTCTGCCTCCTGAGCACTAGGATTAAAGGCATTCACCACCACTGCCCTACTAAAAGTTTATTTTGACAACTGTAATTAAATCCTGAAAGTTGAATAAATTAGAGTGACCTAAAAAGGAAGAAAAGAAGGGTACTTCAGAGGTGCTTCAGGCAGACAGAGAGAATAGCACACACTTTCCTAAGTGTGTGCTTGTTTGGTGCAGAGGGCCTCGATTCACTATGGTTGTTCTAGGATAGTGTGGGGTCAGTAGGAGAGATCAAATGAATCTATAGTTTTAGTACCAACTTTCTGAAGCTAGAAGTGGGGACAGAGACACCCCCTCCCATTTCTAAATGTGTGTGTATTAAGATTCTTAAAAAGGTTTTTTAAGAATTTCAAGGTTTTTTTTTTTTTTTTTTCTTTCCCCCCCCGAGACAGGGTTTCTCTGTGTAGCTTTGCGCCTTTCCTGCAACTCGCTTTGTAGACCAGGCTGGCCTCGAACTCACAGAAATCCACCTGACTCTGCCTCCTGAGTGCTGGGATTAAAGGCACGTGCCACCACCGCCCGGCTAAGAT